CAACATGGTATTTATAGTTATATTATCATTTTCTTTTTGATAGCGCTATCTTTTTTAAATGAAAACACGGCTTCATTAAAGGTAAATCATGTACAACCTAACTTTTTGAACTGGTGTCAGATCTTTTGCGACAATGTTCATTCGTTTTACCAGTCCAACGTGTATTTTTGAACTTTTCAAAGGTCTTCGACTGCGTGCCACATAGACGGTTATTACAAAAGCTACCATTCGTGAACATAAACCCCTCGATTATACATTGGATTAGAGAGTGTTTATCCAGTAGAAATTAATCTGTTGCAGTTTCAGGCCATTTGCGAAAGAGTAAGGGATGTAAAGTCTGGCTTGAACCAGGGCTCTGTGCTAGCCCCCCACTCTTTCTTAATTCCCGTTGACATATCTTCCTTGATTCGGTATTTTTGCAGACGACTGCGTCTTATACAGCAAAACAGTAATTATAATTGGCACCCTGGTTTTTCAAAACGGCATATCCCCTATCTTTTGATGGTGAAGCAAGTGGCATATGTGTTTTAACATCGAAAAAACAAAATTTATTACTGTATCACTATCAACGACTAAAACCACAGTGTTAAGAAATATAAATATATGGGAGTTGTTTTTTATTTCGATTACTTTTGCTGGCATGAATACATTGACTACATTGTAAATAAGACAAGTCGGTCATTAAGGTGGTACATTAGACGACATTGTTTTTTAGCATTTACCGAAACTTGGCTCCTAGCTTTCAAATCATTCGTCTAGTCTGGTATCATATGGGCCATTTATCATATATTATCTGGTTAATAAAATGGAAAGAATTCAAATCAAGAGAGCACATTTTATATTTAAAGGCTATGCACCATCTCCGATCGTAACGGCCCTTAAACATACAGCGAATTTTGCTTCATTGGACGCCAGACGTAAGGTTTCCCATCTTGCGTCCATTCAGAACATTTATTATTTTAATGTTCCCATCAAAGAGCAGTTATTACTTCCCCTTTATCGCATTTTCGTTTTCTGAACCACGCCATCCTTATAAAATCCGCTTACAAAATGATGAACTACCCAATTTCTCAACTCCCCGGTACAGCTTGTCATTTCCAAGTGAAACTCTCTGCCCCATCACATTGTGGAAATTACAAATAAACAAAATTTTAAAACTATTGTGAATTATTACTTTACGGTATTCTGTAATGAGGCATGTGTGTGTGTGAATTTCTTTGTATTATATTTATCAAAATTGCTATTGCTTTTATGGACAGATAAGATTTTTTTTGTGTTTGTGTATGTCTGTGTGTGTAATAAGTGCATTTTTGCATGATGTATTTTGTATTCCCCTCATTTAATACCTTAACCAGACAACTTGAAATATGTTAAATAAAAAACTAAAAAAAAACCAGAGGTAATCAGCTATAAAATTTGCAACTTACGTGTTCTGTGCTTTCTCCGTCACAGCTTCATGTCATCTTCTGGTCATCAGAGCGTCTGGTGTACAGCAGTCTATATGTGTAGTTTATTATAGGCGGCGATGTCTTGAAACTAGTGTTGAAAGTCTGCACACTTCACAGAGGGAGAAGTGACCGCTAATAAACTAAAGCAAATAAATCTACCTGTTCGTAAGTTGTCGTTAACATTACCAACAGATGACGCCGGTTACTGTCTATCGATCTATATAAGCAAATCTACGGAAAAGCCAGTTGGTATGCTCGGTTTATCAACCTACTAGCGATTTCAGCGAAACTGTTTTTTTTTTTTACACTCTCCAATATTCGCGGTCTGACTGCAAAGTGCTGCGAGCTTTTACTACGCGGTCACTTTCGTCATCGTAAACGTATGTTCCCTCGCATCTACATGCTTTGTGCATTCGAGGTTTAGTAGCCTAATAGTATGACGATGCGAAGGTGACATCTCGGTCACTTTCGTCATCGTGCGTGTTCTCCAAAGAAGAAATTAACAAATTTATGCGGATGAATGAACCGTACGCGATCGAACGAAGCAAAGTCTATACGAATCCGCCAAAAGGAAAACTCTTTGGCGGAACCGGGATTCGTGCTCTGGACTGACAGGATTTGGACGAAAAAGAGGAGTTTCAGTAGACCCATCGCGAGCGCGAGCTTCATATATTTTCGATAACGCCTTCAGTGTCTCGTGACCCTCGAGCGTGCACGCGCAACCGAAGCACGACGGAAAGCGGCAAGCGCGTGTTGGAGGCCAGATGTCTGAAAGAGACTCCCTGCCGTTCTCACATTGTCAGCGACTGTAGTCAAAAATAGTGTGTTAACAAAAAAGTACATCTTTCTTATGCCTTCTCGTTGCCCTCCGTTTCACTTTGTCTGCAGGTTCGCCGCTTGAAGCTCATGAAGCGTCATCCAAGGTAGGAAGCTCCCGTAGGAGGTGTCGCAAGGGAAGGACTTTCCTGCCGTTCTAATCCTCTCAGTGACCCAAAGAGGAGCCATTTATTTCTGAACACACCGCAACCTCAACAACCACGTAGTCATGGCTAAACGATACAGCGCTCAAAGGTTTCGACGGACTAGATGACTGCATTCAGTATAATCGCAAAAAAAAATCTCGCTGCGTGAAATAATTCTCCTCAAATTGAGCTTTGGGTGGTAACGTCATACGAAAGGGTCAGAACAATATGCTTCATTAACAAACATTCGAAAGTGGCTTGTAAACATTTTAACTAGAAAAAATAAGAAAAAACGGGTGCTGCATTTTTTGAAGGGCCGCTCTGCGCACATGGCCCCGCTGGACGGCACTCTTCCAAGGTAAACGCTGTTTCCTGTCCGCTAGTTAGCACCTCGCTGATGACTTTTGTCGGGCTCTAGCTTACACTATTTTATCACGTGATTTCTATTTCTGGTGTTTTCAGTAACACGTTTTGAGTGCGGAGCAAACATACACGAGGAGATTTTCATAATCACAACCAGTAATAAACTAATGTTGTAAATTGTGATTTTAGACGAATACTCACGCCGACAACGTTAATCTAAATTTTTAAGTGCCGACCCCAATAATGCTGCGCTCGTGCTATCGCTTCCACGCCGGCAGCGCCATATTCAATGGTAACGGTGACTCGGCATCATCGAACTTCTTGAATGGCGATAATATTTTACCAAGCTGCAACGTTTTTCACTCGATGAATGTAAGGGTTTTGATTTTCATATGCTATTCTTATTAATCCTTACCTCTTCCGTGATAAGAACAACGTTAACTCTGCTTGGTCGATGTCCAGCGTTACAGAATTACAAATCTAACTTCTGGACGTTAAGATGCGCGAAGCAAAAAAGAGAGTTCCTGGGCTTCATACAGTTTAAAAGCATCCGCACAACTAAGACCCAACGGGCAAACAGGTGGCCATGAATCCCGATGAGCTTCGGTTTGTTAGGTCGTTATATTCAGCATCTTCGGTCCAAAGACCAATGTCCAAAGTCCAAAGAGGGCTTTGAACCTTGCCGACTTCGTTTTCATGCTATCCCACATTTTCTGGAATTACCTTTCGTGAAAACAGGCTATTGATTTCAGCCTCATTGCTGCCTTGCGCGTCTTAAGGTTTCTTGGAACCGCTTTCTTTTTCTCTCGTTAATTTGTATGCATCACTTAGCAAGAGTATATAGAGGTCCTTGTGCGTCTCTAGTTACTCGAATGGAACTCCTTATTTTGTTGCTTATTTTTATTTGCGTAGCATTTAGAGAACCAGTTCTTAGGGAATCTGCGTTCGTGCTGGGATGTAGGCTTGGTGACGTCGCAATGTGACCTGACACCGCGATGTCACCACGAAAGCGCGCTAAATGCATGGCATTCATTAATCCTTCGTGGCGTCAGCTGACACCATGATGTCACATCGTCACCTTACACCATGACGTCAAGTTTCACTGTGACGTCACGTCACCTGGTCCTGCGACGTCACCTGAACCATGACGTGCAATGTAAAGTCACGTGACACTGGTGACTTTATTCATTTGCAAAACCCTTGCAAAGTACGCTTCTATGGTCTCCTTACTCAGCCCGGAGAAGGATTACAAAGAGGCCCTATAAATTCTGTGCATAAATAAAGCTTTTGGGAAACGTCAAACGTTCTTGTCTTATCTTACCGAATGTGTAGTCCTCGACAAAAAAAAAATCTTAAAACAGAGGAGTCCACTATAGTGGACTCCTCTGTGTCTGACTCCTCATAATGGATGTATACATCCATTATGATTGCCACTGAGTGACGGAATATAAACTGTGTGTTCGAGAATATTGGAGAGGAAGAAAATTTTGCAGACACAAAAGGTCTTAACACCTAGGCAACATATTGAAACCGGAGAAACGGAGACGAAAAAGGACATATATAACACCGTCTCGTCCTTTTTGTAATTTTTGTCCGTATTGCCTCCGAGTTTCTGGTATTGTTATGTTGCCTAATATTTACCAGATCACCTGCGCCCTCAATCTTCTTCCACTTGCCACTGAAACCGATCTCTTCCGAAAAATAGGTTAGTATAGACCGTATCTTTGTGAGCAGCGTCATTTGAATACCGCAGCGCCTCCTGGAGCGCGTCGAATTCTGAGACCGCATTGGGATGGGGCGGAAGTTGACCTTTTCCATCTGCCATTGACATGCGAAAGTGACAGTGGCCGACAAAAATACAGTTCCATAACCCTCCTCTGGGTCTTTTTGCTGTTTGTTCCAACCCAGGAAGCATAAAAGCGCGCGGCAAATATTTTCCCCTTTCTCTCACTCCCTACTTCAGTAAAACGGCCTATATTGGAATCTTCTGTGCTGAGTAATATGTCTCGTCACCTCGACCTTGCGCAAAAGAGTATCTGACCCTGAAACTATGGCTAGGCCGTATACTTTTTGGGGTTTATTTATGTTAGAAATAGGCGAATGTTTTCGGGAACTATTGATTTTCAAAATACCAGTCCAATTTGGTGAATTGCCTCGTGCAAACCCTTCAAACGACTTTTATCGACGGAAAAACAATTTTTAATAGAAACGAACAATCAAGACGACAAACGTTTCAACTTTTATTTACATTTGCTACACAATATTTTCCACACTTCAATATTGTAATATACGCACGCACACATTCCAAGGCTCGCATCTGTGATTCCCGCCCGCTTTTTTCCGTTGGCGACGCCCAATGTCTAGAACGCGCGCTCAACATTGCACTAGACACGAAAAGTCCAGAAAAGTCCAAAGAGGCTTCGGAGAGTTCCGGCCAGTCTGGTGAATGCAGCTTCGAAAACAGCGCAGGTTGAACAACGGCAATGATGGAGTACTGGCGGTAATGGAGAAACTAAGCTTCCGAATCGCTGAGCTTACATTCATCGTGCACGACAAGCCTGTAGATGCTTTCATAGGGAACAAACCCCTCTGGCAGCTTCATCGTGACGCAAGGATTAACTATATGCACGCGAAACCAGAGCGAGTCATCGTTGAACTGCGGGTCGTCAGAGATGTTGCAGGTAATCAGAGACGATAGTTTTGTGCCTCTACCCTCTCCTTTCCATCCTCAGCTCGGTTCTTTGAAGTCCCGAGCTCTCTCATCTCCTCCTGTTCCTGAGTTGTGGATGTTAGAAGATCGCTTCGATGACTCCGATGACGATACCCGTACTCCGCCGTCGCCTTTGCGCGTGCATCGCATCGTTATCGGGTATCGGAAGTATCTGAACGATATACTAAAACTCTGTATTGTCTCTCCGTACACGGGTGGTTACAATGACGATAGCGGCATCTTGTCCGTGACGTTTTTACGGAGGTGAACAAGCTCCGAACGAACTCTACTGTTCTCAGCTCCGAGCACACTAGCATTTTGACATTAGAATAGGCAGCTTGCTCTACAGTATTTCGATAAGGCGTAGAACACGGGGTCGGGAGCATTGTTTCCGCTCAGTGCACGCAGCATTCGCCCGACTCGCTGAACGGCTCAGTACGAAATTGCGTCTCGGACAGGAGAATTCCCATTGTTATATTATTCTTCCGTGACAGGCTGATTCTGCTTGAGTGTTCAGTGCCCTTCAAAGTGTTCTTGCCGCCTTCCACGTAGGCATCGCATTTTTAGTGACCGGTGTTCACACACTCAAGCGGAGACGACACGCCACATCGGTGGTTTGGATCCAAAAGCGACGGCCTACAGATGCTGGTTCGAATCCCGGCCGAAGGGCCCGCAACTTGACGGGGGTTTGTTTTGGTAAAGGGGCCGTGTAACCGAGATTCCCATTGGTCACCCAAAGTCCCCTAAGTGGTCTAACTTCATTCATCCTCAGTATTCCGCTTGAACGTGCCAGATGTCCTTCGTTTGTTTGGCGCGTGAAACTCCCAATTTCGATTTCGCGGGAACGAATGAACAAAGTATCAGCAAAGGATCAATCCCAACGGGCTTTAGTGTAACGGAAATTTATTCTAGATAAAAATATTTTAACGCCCGTATGTAGAGAAGAGACATATTTGCTCATATATATTAGGTGTATGGTGATTCCCGCCCACCTGCAGGCTCTTCTAGCGAGCAGAGATGGATGACACAAACTACCCGAAAAAGAAACAATGAAGAAACTGATGATGCACTTGCTGCAGGGAAAATAGTCGTGCCATTTGCCGCGCTCTCATCCAGCCGGAAATATGACAACGTGGCTTCTCTGGGCACGCGGCCATGGAGTCTCAGGCCGTTGTCTACGGAGCATCTAAGGCAACACGGAAATGCGAGATTCAAATACCCCATCAACTCCGCGATTATTAAAGCCTGAAATGATTTCTAACAGACCCCCCCCCTCCTTTCCCGAAATTGTGTCCGTCCGTCCGTCTGTCCGTAACTGACATGACTTGACGACACCCGCCCTGTACACCGATTCATTATCCCCGTAAACTTAGCAAGGACATTTATTTAAAAAAATATAGGTTTCTTTGTCACTCAATAATACGGCCGCTTAATGTCTCTTAAACACATTCAAATGATCGCCCCATAAATAATGCATTTCATGCATTCTAGGTTTTCAAAAATAAAAGTCGCTGCCCTTTTACTTTTTTGTTCCCACTTTGTGGATGTGTTTTCAGAGGTGTTTTCAATCGTTTTCACCATAAAATAGTCCACTTTTACTTTCTGATGCTCACATGAATTAGATATAATAGGGTTCCGGGTCGATTTGCTCAATACTTGATATTTCCTTTTCTGATCGCCTTGACTGCATGCTCTTTTTATTTCGTTTTATTATCCGATTATCATCACAAAGTGCTCGACTACTTGATTTCAGAAGCTTTTACTAACAAGAAAAAAACTCCCTTTTCCGGGGAACCATATGCTTTTGTAAAGAACAATTTTATTTAACAATTTTTGCCGGAGCAGTTTAATGAGCCATACAAAGGTGCCCCAATTTCTAGTAATTTACAGTGTCTAGAATCGATTGCAACTTCATGTCAATTAGTAGCTCCACGCCGTTCTCAAAAACTATGTGAAAGTACCACACCGTTTAAAAAAAATAGTTTCGTAATGTGATGTTCGATCAAGCGTATAGACTTCCACTCCGTCAAAAAGGAATTAAAAAAATTCCGTGGCTTCTTTATTTCTCTTTGTCAAATTACTTTCGCACAGCGAAATCTAAGCCGAGGACGATGTTATAGACACACTATAATTAGAGATAGATTATGAGTACATTAGAAGTTCCTCCCACCTCTTTCCACATTAGCAGAGCGAAGGCTGGAGAGGAGGTCGCTTCCTCCCCAGACTTCGCTCTGCTAAAATGGAACGAGGTGGGAGGAGCTTCCACCTTGCTCATAACCTATCACCGACTATAGAGCCTATACTTTGTTTCAGTTTTAGCCCACGCAATGATATAATGGGACCAATCACGGAGCGTTAAAAGCGCAAGCCACTGGACCTTTTGTTTTGATTGGTTCAGTGATGATAAAGCAGGTATGCATAAACATGACGAACCCCATGATGGTGCGTTTTTGACGCTGTCTGATGAGTCCCATCAACTCGTAGCGTTGGTTGGGTCTAAACTTAACGTGAAACGAAGTAAAATACCGGATTCATTCGATTCATTCATTCTTTTACATAGTCGTCTAAGAAACAATGTGCTGCCGGCTGGAAGTTGGTTCTACCCACTCTTCGTTTTACCTGAAGTTCAGACACAGCCGACGCTACGAACTGATGAGACCAATCGTGCAGCATTAAGAGTGCACCAACATGATCGTCATCGTGTTTCTGTACGCGTTCTGTAAACGCTGAACCAATCATGTACAGGGAAGGTCGAGTGACTGGCGCTTTTGACACTGCTTCATAAGCTCCATCTGCTCGTAGGGTCGGTGGTGTTTGGGCTTGACGTGAAACGAAGTGCAGTACTGCAGTCGAATCTATCTCATACCGTCTCGATCACTACGTGTTCTAAAGGCTTTCTCAATTTCCGTTCTCAACTGCTCTGCGCTGTGGGCGATTGGGTACCCCAGACTACGGAATACGTCAGGACACGCCTCCTGAATTTTGACCACGTCACGATAATCGAGCGATTGGGTCCAACGGAAAGCCGTTCTGTTTGAATTTCTTCGTATTGAAAATGAATTGTTTGTCTTTGTATCGGAGGCAAACGCGTGCGTTTTAAGAAACCTGGAGACATGCCCTGTGAAACTTAGACCGAGACGACTTAGAAGACCTTTCATGCCCGACTCCGGATTTAGAGCAATGTCCTCGTACCGAACTCGTGTTATCCGACTCTGAAGAATTATCTTAAGTTCGTCAAACGTGTCAATATCGTCTCTCATTTCTTGGCAGAGTGTCCGAATGTCCTTGCACCCCATTTCGTACGTACACCATGTCTCGCGCAGCCTGGAAGCCCATATACCTCTTGGGTCTCTGACGAGGTGTATGATTTTGATACTCCGTCCAAGATCATCGTAGTTTCTGATCAACTCCCGTACATCACGAAGCCTTAACAAGGTAACCTTCATCAACTGCATTCTAGACATGTTGCATACAGTGGATATAATTTCAGGGCGAAAGCAGACATTGATGTGACCTCTACAGCGGGACCACAATACTCTGTTTCGAGCGAAATGATGGCCAAAAGATTTTGCTTGTTTAATGTACTCTGGGACATGTTCAAAGTCGCAGCGGAAAATGTTTTGTATAGTTTTGTAACTCAGGGAAGTAATTTGTGGTGGTTTAGTGTGGTCGTTATGAAGGACAGACAGTGGTTCAAAGTGATAAAAGGTGAGTGGATTCTGGGACAACGCCGCGCCTAGAAACGAAGAGCCAGATCGGAAATAGGCCACCAGGAGGATACGAGGAACGGTCGAGGTGCCTGTGGCGTTAAGGATAACAGGCCCGGAGAGGCTGGTAGTCGACGTCGCTGACCTCGGCTGTCCGGTTGTGGCTTCTTTTCTGGGAACAGCGTTGCGGAATGGTCCTTTGTAAGCTTCGGTGACGTTTTTCGCCGAGAAGATAGCTGTGTGGTTCCTCGCCGTCGACTTAGAAACGGAAGTTACGTTGTCGAAATCGGAAGTTATTGGCACGGTAGGTTCATTGCCAACTTTTGTGGAGCCTTTTCTATTATATTTCCTTGGTTTTATAGGCACCATCAGAAAGAGTATAGTACAAACTAAAAGGGAGAAATATGTAAATCTTAAAATTGCATTTCCAGACCGCCCATTTCGACGGGGAATACTCGGTTCTTGACAATTGTATGTATTTTCTTGGCCTGTAAAGAACAGCGTCATTTTGGATTAGTGTTGATTTTTTGTGTTGGTGACAAAATATTTTTAAGTTTAGCGATTATATCTTAACCTCTATTTTCGGTGTCCGAAATTTATGTAATATGCTCAAGTGCTGCCTTCTTTCCTAATTGAATTTGCAAAACAGAAACCACGCACTGCTAGCGTCGTAACTGGCTTGTCGCGGTTCATTGAGATACTTAGTTTAGGCATACTTGCAGAAATAAAACATCTATGCGTCCTCTCTCATTTCCGAATTGTTTTATGGGTGAGCTTTAACGTATTAGAAGATAACACTCCCGTATTTTGTTTAGGAACACGTTTAATGCAAGCCTGAAACTCACAGTTCTCACCTGTACACAGAACGTCGGTTGTTCAATCTTATTTATTAATTTTTGAGGGCCATATCTTCACGTGAAGGCCTTCTGCACTTCTCAAATTACATCTGCGTTGTATAATCCTCGTTCCCCAGCTATATGTAACACACTAGCCAATGAAAATATGAACTGGGGGTTTATTTAAGGCTAGGAGATCGTATATAGCATTTCTGTAGGACCTACGCGAGTACGCAAATGTGGAGTTTACGTAGATCGTTTCCGCTGTACCGCTGCGCTCTCTGTAGCCCGCTACGAGATCTGGGACTCTGCTGGCAAGGCTTGCGCCGCTCATGCGCACTAGTGGCGTCGTCGTTCCGGAGAGCGTTGCGGAAATGGAAAAATTATCTACGAAAACTCCCTATTATCTCGCTAGATGTAAGGTTTTGCGTAAGGTTTTGGGTAACTCATTCATATTTTTATCTACGTTAGGTGCTCTATCTTAGAACGTTAGATACAACGAAGCCTAAACGGATCACGAATGCGCTTAAGTTTCCCAAATAGGAAGTCCTTAGGTTTTACCTTCTTATCTAGAGTTATTTAAAAAAAAAAAAAAAAAACGAAAGTTCACATTATTTTTTTTTTCGATTTTCCGTCTAAGTTGTACGCCATCAAAAATATCTTTAGTGCAACATATATTTAAAAGGAATACGTGAAAGGAACCCTAGTGATCTGCGCAAGTAAGCTGGACGGCCAGGGGGACATAATCAAGGGGTATTCAATGTCACGATAAGCTAAATCATTCACTAAAAATATGTCTTAATTGGTGGAAATAAGCATATGGTTACAGTTAGAAACTTGCTGAGCGTAATAGAAAACCACCAAATTAGGAAATTTTATAAAGACTTAAAGAAAACGGCAAAATCGGGGATGCGCTAAAGCTACCAGTCGTACAACAGGTGCAAGGCTGGGATTCGAAAACCCGGTTGATATTCTTATCATCCGCGTCTCGACAGCAATGGCAGCATGGCAATCGCATCCAATAAAGATTTATCGCAGCACAGGTCCGGTGTGCTGATTGCTTCTGCCAAGGAACCGCGCAGACGAAGAGGTTCTGTTGTAGAATTAGCGTAAGACCGTGCGTTTCAACCCCGTGCTGTCCATATACTGAACGAGCCCTAAGTCACTGCCCACAAGGCAGAGGAGGAGCAGACAAGCGGCACATCGTGTCTTGGCAGCAGTGTCAGCACAGTGATCGCATCAACTAAACTTATTGTAACACGGGTTGGTCCTACAATAGTGCCTGTTTTGTTAGCCTAGCTTTTAACCAGTGTTGCTACCGCTGATACCAGATTATTCACTGTTCAGTGTTGTTGTATGCGCCCTGACTATCTCTCCTGAGATTTGTGCGTGTCTGTAATGGATTCGTCGAAGCGGGACGATATAAGCACGTGCAACGAATCAAACGGCCTATGGACATAAGTTAGGCTACGTGGCAACACTCGACTGCTGAAAGGGCGATAGCAAAAACAAATTCAACCAAATTTTAAAGAATAAGCCAAAAGGAAACACGAATCGGAGAATAGATGTACGTACTTGCAGCGATAAACAGCGAGCTTGATAACCTTTTGACTTTAAACTGCATGGTTTAAAGCATAAACAACAGTCCAGATGTTGTCAGTCTCGTTAATCAGATGAAGCAGCAAGACGTAGAAATAAAACCCTTGAAGGCCCGCAGTGAAAATATAGCGGACGCTGACTGCCTTGACACGGTAAAACGACTGAAAAGGGAGGTAAATGAGCATCAATGGCGAAGCAGAAAGTTTAACCTAGAACTTCACGGAGCTCCTCTTGAATAAAAAAAAAAACGATAACCTTTTTTGTGAAGTATACAAGGTTGAGAAGGAGTGAGATATAGAACACCTGTGAGTGACAACCTCGACGCTCCCCCCAACATACTCTGAAGGCAGACAAGACTCTAGGTTTTATAATTATAATACATGTGATGTGGTTTTATAATACATGTGATTTGAACGAAGTCCACAGTTAGAGAGGATTCACTCAGCCGTCTCCATTCTGGATAACCTGTGGTTCGCGAAACGGCGGGTGGCAGATGGGTATTATAAGTATTCGTAAGATAAAAATGGAAATATATTTCTAAGGAAGCTAGATGGGGAGCGAGCTATTCTCATCAAAAGCGAAAACAATTTTTGTGCGCTTGAGTGACCATTAAACTGATGCCAGGAGTATGGTAACTGGTGTTATCTTTGTTCTTATGGCAGCCCCAAAGTTCACATTCCCCACGGAAGACACATTCACTGAATCTGGATAGCAGCACCATAACTAATGAATGCTTTTAGGATGTGCCGGAACAGTTATCTGCGATACCTTCTAATACGAAAGGTATGAAGTGCAAGCGAGACAATCTTGAATTGTTCTTTAACTCGTTATGTTTGCGGTTAGATGCAATCATGTTCGCTAAGAAGTGGCTCTCGGTAAATGATCAGGTACGTACCTCATCTAAAAAATTACAAATACGCAAGTCAGTCAAGAATGGAAAAACGAGGAGGTGCTGTTGCGATTCGTAGTAATCAAAACAATTTTTATTGCGTTGTTGAAGAATACTTTCTTATTAACTCACATGCCAACCCGTTTACTGCACACGCAGAAAAATTGTGTTTGTCATTGTGTATTGACCACCGACTGCAGACATGCATTAATTATTTAAATTTTTGGAAGCACTGCTTCTCTATTTTGGATCTTGTCCGCTTTCAGTTTTGATAGTCGGTGACGTGAAGATTATTACGACAATGAGAAATGCTACTTTTACAAAACTGATAGTGTAGCTGCCTACGAATACCCAAACGCGATAGCACTGCCAACCAGGAGGGCACCAGTACGCGTATCCTTACTTGACATCGATTTTTGGAGACATTTTTCACTGGGATTGATCTGAATCTATCAATGCCAGCTCCGGTGTTATTTTTTCAACTTGTAAACAACCTAGCAAATGGAAACGGCGTGATTGGTTTGATAATTTTGAAGTTATTCAAGGGCGCAGTCTCATCTATTACATAGCTTTCTCGGCTATTCTACCCTTCATTACTCGCACTAATACTAACAAAACAGGCGCTCATATTTGCTGGGGACTTTCCTTCCATTTTTTATTCTCAAAATTAATCTGGATCTTACACGTGGAAGAAGTTTCTCTGTTGGTTATTACATTCACTGCATTCCACACTTTCCTCGGAACGTTTTTTTTTTTTTCGTTTTTTTTTTTTTTTTAAATGCATCTTGATATAGTAATCGCACTTCTCTTTTTTTTATATCCGCCGTTAGTTTGTATCTCACGTTTTTTTAAATCGCATCAAAGTCTCGGGTATCGACGAAGTCCTTGCACACTTTTTTTTTTTTTTTTTTTTAATTTCTGTAACACACTTATTTATCCAAGGCTGTATGTTTTTTTTTTCTAGATTTAAGAAAGGGGAAAGCCTTGTCATAACATTTTAAATGTTCTTCGAAATCGGTTAGATACAACATCAGCATTCGTTATTTCTTCAAGGACGTTGCTTCAGTTAGGACTTCCTCATTTACTTTTAAATATTACTATGTACTGTTACTTATATATAGGGTGGCGAAAGTCGCAAAGCTCGATCTAAAATGGGCCGTAAAAATTGGCGCCTGCTCGAACCAGTCTAAACTTTTCGTCACAGGTCCGTTTTTTCTTGTAAAATTACAAAGCGTAGCTCCGTTTCTGCAAACAATTTGGCCAAGAACGTCGCCATGGTCAAAGGCGGGCGGCGACGCAGATGACTGAGTCGATCGGCAAGGCGCATTTGGCGCACGTAATGATAGATGGCGTCGGGAGCAGCGTCGGAATAAAGTCCCTCTATCGTGGGAAGAGTGGAGCCATTCTTCAAACAAGCCCCCGCGCTAACTACTGAGCAGTCGTCACGTGACATCCTGCTACTTTCGGTTTTGGACTTCCAGCCGCCATTACTTTACCAACCTGTAGCTCCGCCGAAACTAAAGGGCTGCTGCGCCTGCGGAAAAATTGGCCGGAGAGCTTTTCAGTTTTCTGTCTGGAACGGAAGATGAACCTTAGAGGAAGACCTTGCTTCACCAAATCGGTCGAAAAGATTTCAATCCGACGGAAGCCGCAGAGTTATGCGATGTAGGTGCTCTGTATAAAGCTCACCAGAATGCAAAAAGACAGCTGTTAAGAGCGAATAAATCACTCCATTCCACCGTAAGCGCGAGCGATGTAATAGCGAGCACAACACTGCCGACTTGGCATGCACGGACGCCCGTGCCGTGGAAGTTCTATAGGGCCTGGTCCTGCTCGTGCTCGAAGCATCGGCGTCGTTCTCACTTTCGTGCGGAATGCGGCGGAAGTGCGGAGTACGCTCTCTCATCAAGTGTTGTGTACGTGCGCGCGTTCCATTCTTTGTTTCGCACAAAGTTGAACGCTTGCAACGCCCTCGCGGCTGCGGAAACGATTGAGCATATGGATGTATGCATACCTCGGTTCAACGCGAGCGAAGCCAATGTGACAAGCAGGAGTATGCTTTTTCTCCAACCATTAAAAAAATGTAGAGAATCATTTGAAATCGTGGAGAATACATTTGCAACTTGGCGGATTTATATGATGATGAAAAACGACTTGCGATTCCTGTGAAACCAAAGGGGCGGAGAGGCACTCACGAGACACTGACCGATAATGCCACTCGGTAGGGACGATTCGGACGATTATCCGAAGCACTTTTCGGATCCACGGTTGGACTAACAGACCTAGAGCGGCTTCAGGGCGGTCGGATGCGAATGCGGGCTCTAAATGAGGTCAGTGCTACACTTATGACGACAAAAGTCCTCACGACCGGCATCGCGCTGCTCGAGCTGATCGAGGCGTCGAGACAGTTGGGAACATCCAGAAGGCGCCTCCGTCGCAAACCGGAAGTTAGAGGTGGGGTAAGGAAAAATTTATTTATTTTTTTTTTGAGGAGGAGGGAAGGAAATGCGCCACTTTTTTCAGGTACAGAGTTTTTACGTTGGAATGTGTAGCCGACCAGCGAAAGAAAGCCGACAACGCACAGATGATATCCGTCGGCATCAAAAACGCCGTCGTTTTGCAACCACGTTGTTTTTCTTTTTTTTTTCTTTTTTTTTTTTTTACTTCAAGTTTTCTTGTTATAGTCCGTATTTATTTTTAAACCAAAGGTACACTACAAAAAGATCTTCCTTTTAGTAAATCACGGTCGTCGCGAGTAGTCTCTATAAGAAGGTAGCGTCATCTATCGATACGTGCGCCAAACGCGCCCCGCCGCTCGACTTAAGCCTAGCCCACATGGCGCGTTTTTCAGTGCGTCTAGACGCGCGTCTCGGCTTGGCGCGCGCGCTAGGCAGGACGCGTGCGCCCAGTCAAACCACACGCAGCGCTACCGGGCAGCGCTTCGCGTCTGCGTTTCCGAAGCGTCTGCCCAACGTAGCCAGACGCGCTTAAGCAACAAAATCAAATTTTAAAAAGAAATCGCGCGGTAAGTGATGGCTACATGCCGTAATATTTAGTTTTAGTAATAGCAAGCACTCATTTTTATTACAGCAATCGCAATGAAGCTCAATTTAACTAATTTTCATCCCTTTTAGTGCGTACGCTTCATCCACGTTTCGATACGCCATTGGCATCACCATCGCCCGCGCCAAAACATTCACAGCTGGCCGCTGGCCGCTACAGAGGTCACGTTGTTGCGGTTGTTGCCGGTAGTATTAATTTTGTACCTTTGTCTCTCGGTGTCCTTGTATTCTTTACATTTGGCCTGCCGGAGTGCAGGACGCTTTTGTACTTCGCTAGGTCCTCTCTGTTCCGCTGAAGCAGCGTCAGCATCTCCCGCGGAGCAGGGAGGATTCCCCGAACTTGTGTAAGGTATGGTAAACGGATATCCGCGGGCGGAAGGACGTAACTACCCATGTTCGCCCTGCTGTTAGCGTTGGCGGGGCCTAAAAGCCGTTTTTATTTAAGGCCGCGAGCGTAAAAATTTCGTAAACTCCGCGCGCGCGGGTGTGCGTGTGTGCGTGCGCGTGTGCGCTCTGCCTTGGAATGGCACAGGGCTGTTACCCGTTTTTGTATGTGTATCTTCCTGTTTTGAGTGTTTTTATTTATTTTCCTCTCCCGTATCCCTTTCCCTACTTGGCGGCGTGCTAGCAGGCCCACCTGCGTAAGAGTCTCAACCTTTCTGCCTAGCTTCGCACGCTGCCGAGTGGGTATCGCAATATGTGCAAATAAAAAGTATTATTATTATTATTATTAGCGCCTTTGTCGCGAGGTCCGTGGCGAAAACTACAGTCGTACAGTGGCGAAAACAGTGGAGACAATTCAAACGCTCCTTGCAACTAGTGGACACGGCCGTTCATTGGTTGTTGCCTTCTGGACGCAGCGCGAGACGCGACGCCTGGACGCAAAATATCTGGCTCCTCCAGATACGCCGGAATGCGCCTAAAAACGCTGCGTTTCGTCCCGGCGCCGGAAGTGACGTCAAAGCGCAGGCGCAGACGCGACGCAGACGCGGAGAAAAACGCGCCATGTGGGCTAGCCTTTAGTCGTCTGCGTCGCCGCCCACCGTTGATCCTGGCCAGTTTTTTGTACTATTTTTTACAAAAGCAAAGCTACGCTTTTTAATTTTACAAAAAAAAAGGCAAAAAAAAACGGACTTGTGAAATGCATGTTTAACGAGAAGTTTAGATTGCTTCGTGCATGTGTCGATTTCTACGGTCTGTTTAGATCGAGCCTGGTGATTTCATTAACCCTAAATATCTATATCTTTCATTGGGGATGAACGTCACACAAGATAGGAAAGCGGTTACTATTATCGTTAGAAAAGACGGCATATGTTATGTCTATCGCGTATATTTGTGACACGTGTAAACTTTTCGAGCAAATAATTATTGAAGGGGCCCCAGTGGATTTTTATATCGCCTTTTTATGGCGCCAACGGAAACTACATACCTTAATTGTATATCTTTAAAAAAAAACTACAATCACCCGTCGCTTTTTTTGCCCATAAAAATGCAACCAAGCATTGTGGTACGCTCCTATTCTGAGATATATATCAGAGAAAACCGTGTTACGGTGTTTTTATCGCGCTCTTAAAAGGTAAACAAGTCACGCATGGGTGATATTTGGGGTTTTCTACGACGCTTATGGCGGATATATGGAGCTTACGCCCCACGAAAAGGATCTCGGAATCCATTTTGGAGCCCCTTTAAGGAATCTTATTTTGCGCGATGGAACAGGGCACCTATTCCAATGAGGGGGTATTATAAACTTACCTTTTTCTCCATATTTTACATGATCATCACAAATTAACAACATGGCTTGTGTATAGTGGTTGCAGCGGACGCATGACTGCGTTTACTGCAAGTATTGCAAACACCTGCTGGTCTTCACACAATCAGAGTATGGGCACGGCTGCAGCTGTTTGAAGATAGAGTTCAGAAGATTATTGTGTGTTATTTGAAATGCCGAAAGCTCTAGAATATCTCTCCAGGCAAACAAACTTCATGTCTTAGCAATATAATTTTTTTTTCTGTTTTTACATTTCAATACGATCGTTCATTCGCTGCCACATCGATATTTTTTCTAAATATTAGTTGTGATAAGGGTAAAAGAAGATTGTTATATTTCATATTTTAAAAAAATCTTAAGTCCTTGAGTTTTTTTGTTTGTATTTTTTACATGGTTTACGAACCGCTTGAATGTGGACAAGCCACCAATAAAACGCCTTTTTAGCAGACGGACAACGTATGTATTGAATTCCTGCTAAAGAGTTCTTTACATTTTATTTATGTATCTTCATACCTCGAAATTTCTCAAAAATGAAATTTTTGTGCACAAAATGCATCATCTTCGGCCATTTCCCTACAAAATCTCAGCTCGATGCGTTAAAAAACTCATTTAGGTGGTCAATTAAAAAATCCAACGACCTCTTTGACTCTCCTGGTACAACTCATGCTCCCTATAAAACAAAAATAAAAATTCACCTCAGACGAAAAACATTTATTTGACAGCAAGCCACGTAAAATCCAGAAGTCAAGTAATCATATCATTTCATTCCATTTCATTGATTATACCCTTAAACCCTTCATAATGCTCGCAACACGAAATGTATGCACCAAACATTTAAGAAGCTGTTTAAATCCTTGCTAAGGGGAAATAATAGGAAATCGCAGGTGGGGTAAAAATATATGTTTCAGCTGTCTGGAAAGGAAATATTGATATCAATGTGGAGCGCAAGTTCGTCTGCTTCTTGCACAGGGGTTGCGATAATGTCAGAACGACGTCGAGTTCTTATCTGCTGATTGAAAAAAAAAAATAGTGGGTAGACCTCAAGGCATCAAGCATTGAGGTCTACCCACTATCCTTTCAAAAGAAGCCAATCAGAGCTCGGCGTCATTCTGACGTCACCGCAACTCCTACACAAGAAGCAGACGACTTGCTCGCCTCATAGTCCCTGACTGCTTAAGAAACGTAGGGTATAGCTTATTGTTCTGGCTTCTCGCTTCGAGATTGGTCGTTCGCCATTTCAAAAGGACGATGCTGCAATTTCATTAGCTGAGGAGCGATAATTTGATGTTCGAAACTCGCAACGCTTTGCGTTTCTTACACTTTCGGTAACTATAGGAACCATGATAAGTTCGTTGAATAAACATCGACGCGAAAAATTTGGGAACAAATTTAAAATATCGGTGCTGCCCGCTCGCGGCCAAGTCATACAATAAAAATCAGGTTCCTAATGATCGCAATATCCTTTTCTAATATTACTGTCATTTACGTTTCGTACCAATCGTTTCTCACAATATTCAACTGAAAAGAAAAAAAGAAGCTTGTTATAAGGTCGAATAAATCTAGATGACTATTTGAAACTCCAGTCGTGACCTAATTAAATACAAGTTCAATAAGCAAACAAATACCGAACGTCAGCAGCATAACTGCAAAAGTTCGCGTACCATTTCTAATTTTGCGTTTTCACGAAGATATAACGTTTCGTAAGAAAGTGAAGATTCCGGGTAAACGTTCCAGTAAATCAGGAAGACTTTTAGGGAGTAAGGGAAAACAATAAAACCGCCGCACTAAATTTAGCCTTTGAAGATTAAGCCTTTTGGCGACTAACCAGTCTACTAAATTTAGCTTTAGTGGAATAAGTGAAAAACAGTTTTATAGAACCATTTCAAGACGCGTACGATCTTAGCTTGTAGACGAGAGCAATTCCATGTGTATTTCATACTTAGGAAAAGTCAACGTAGTCCGTGAACAAAATAAATTTCGCATCACTTACAGCTAGGGGTGTGTAAATATTCAAAACTTCGAATACTTCGCGATTAATGTTCGCTATTCGATTCGATTCTCTTCGCACTTTCGCTGTTCGAAGCATTCAAGTTCTTCGAATGCTTCGAAAACTACGAATAACCCGGAACTCGCTGAGTAGTGTCAACTCGCGGTCGAGTTCTCTGTTTTGTTTTTGGACTGCGCAGTATGGTTTCGAGCTTGGTAAACCCAAAAATCCAACATAAGTGGCTTTTTCTTTGTATGAAGCACTGGAACGTTGTTGGCACGCGGCAGCGCGATGTGACGTTTGCTTGCCATGATGTCTGGACTGCGGAGTTGGCGAAGTGGTCGTGGCGCAAACACTGCGATAGATTTGATGAAGGACTAAGATTTGCAGCGGCACGTGCATCGTCGTGAGTACAAACTCGACGGACCATACTCACTACAGTCATGATGCCTGGAAGGCCTACAGCCTTTGTTACAGTCACTACAGTAGTCAAGGTGCTATGGATTCGGATATGGATTTACAGCTGACCTCTGCTATCGGCGATATCTGGCTCGTTTGATTTTCCCCTTGATTTTCCGGTTCATCAGTTTGCCTGTATTCATTTTGCTATTTATTTCTACCCGTTTCCACTGGTAAAAAAGTAAGACTCGCTCCCTCCGCCAAACAAAAAGGTATTCTTAATTTATTGCTTCTTTGTGGAGCCCTCTATTGGCAGAACTATTGCACGTGGAAAGAGATTGCGCAAAGTCAGTGCGGCTGCGTGGCGAGAGCGCACGATCTCCGACTCTGGTGTGTGTCGGCCGACCCAACTCCGCTTGTGTAATTCCATTTACGTTCACGTGGTTGCGTTCCCCCGCGTAAAAAGAGATTACACAAAGTCGGTGCAGCTGCGCGACGCGATCTTCGACTTTGTATTGTGACTTGCCGAGCCATCACCGCTTGCGTACTTTCGTTCACGTCCACGTGGTTGCGTTCGTCCCCGACGCGATTTTCGACTGCGTGGTGGCTTGCCGACCCGCCTCCTTTCTGTACTTTCATTTACGTTCTGTAACTTCACCTCTTGAGTGGTGCTTTACTGACTTACCTTTCATTTCATCGTTTTTTTATCAGTCACATGTATGACATTTTTCTTATTGCAATAAAATTATTCTTTTCAAAATGTTTGTTGAAAAAAAATTCCATTTGTGTTTTGATTGAGCATTCTTGTTTAATTCGCATCACATAGAAAATATTTGTTTTCAAAAATGTTCTTATTTGAAACTACTATTTGTATTCGAAAATATTCGATTCGATTCAATTCATTTTGATTCGTAACCTTCATTATTCGATTTGATTCGCTTCGAAAGATATTGATATTCGCACACCTCTACTTACAATTGTGTAATGTTACAATCTGTGATACACGGAGAAATGAAACAAAGGAACAAGATATTGTATGTCGTCTCGTCAATTCAATCTCTTTATCCGTGTCTTATGGTTTAAATTATAACATTATCTAACCAGCTCGCTTCCGTACTTGCGCTTCTTACCAGAAACTTTGTCACTTATAAACAAAAGGAACAAAAGTTGTCCCAGGAGTGAGCATTCAGTAACCATGGAACTTGAAGAAAGAACAAAACTCTACGGAGTAACTACTAAAAATCGCGAACAACCTTCCGACGACCACTGGGGTAGCTAGAAAACGAGGCTCACAGGTGGCAAATAAAGCAATACATTGCCAGTTTCGGCAACCATGAATCATGAAAAACAAGATCGAACGTTTTCTATATGCAAAACTAAATCGCACACAGTTGCCTGCTCTTGGGTAAGACTAGCACAGTCAACACAGGCAAAAAGGGATGATTATACAGACTTCCCTTTCAGAAAAACAGTCGTCCTTTTATGCTGTGGTAGCACTTTGATTCACTACGGTACAATCATAGTGTATAAGGACTCGCCACGCGCTGTGTTTCTAAAGCTATAAGTGGCTAAAGTTTTTACACACTTTTCCAAAACCACGCATCAATCGCACAGGACGGTAATTACAAACGAACATTAAAATCACCAGTTTTAAAAATAGGAACCACCAGAGAAAAATTATAAAGCTTAGGAAAGGCGTCCATGTTAAAGAGGCAAGTTGAAAATCATGCTTCAAAACAGAAGCACACGAGACACAGCGTATTTTAATAATAAATCTAGGTATGTCATCGATATACCGGTGGATAATTTAAATTAAAGCACATTTGTGGTTTTAAAAACACATCTTAAGCATCAGAAATTCAGTACACTCAACACCGATGGAACTAAAAGGAGCTACTAGGATGCACAGGTGAATAGCAAGTACCAAAAATATCAGTACACCAAATTACGGTTTTGGCTGGCAAGCAATGGATACCAACGCCCTCGTGAAGAAAGATACACGTCAGATATTACAGTATCTCAGGGAGCCTCGTGGCTTTAAAAGAACGAAAAAATGTGGCACTTCATGGAAAAGCGAAACCTAAACTGAGAGCGATGTCGTAAATGACAAGAGTTTATTCTAACAACCAAAACGATCACTGATACATTCAATCTCTCTCGTATTTATAAATTAACAATTTGATAACTACAGATTTGGAGTTGTTTATACTTGAGATTGACGCTTTTTCTAGGTTATATAATTGTATTTTCTTCGTTTTATAAAATTTTTCTCGACTTGTGTTCTCAAACTCGCTTCGCTTAGGGCGATTGGGTACCCCAGACTTTCAAATACGTCAGGACAAGCCTCCTGAAGCTTGACAACCTCAGTATAACTGAGCCAGTAGGTCCAACGGAAAACAGTCTTCCTTGAGTTTCTTTTTGTTGAAAATGAATTACCCAGTTCTGATTCGCTTGCCAATGTGTGTGTCCTAAGGAATTTTGAAACATGCAAAGTATAATTTAACCCGAGACGACTTAAAAGGTGTTTTATGCCTGCCTCCGGACTTAGCGCGATGTCCTCATAGTAAACCCGTATCAGCCGATCGTGAAGAATCTCCCTAAGTTCAAGAAACATGTTAATGTCGTCCCTCATTTCTTGGCAGAGTGTCCGAATGTCCTTGCACCCCATTTCGTACGTACACCATGTCTCGCGCAGCCTGGAAGCCCATATACCTCTTGGGTCTCTTACGAGGTGTATGACTTTGATACTCCGGTAAAGATCATCGTTGTGTTTGATCAACTGTAGTACATGACGAAGCCTTAACCGGGTAACCTTCATCACCTGCATTGTAGACGTGTTGCAAATAGAGGCTATGAATTCAGGGCTAAAGCAGGCATCGATGTCACCTTTGCAACGGGACCACAATGCCATGTTTCTCTTAAATGGGAAGACAAAGGATTTTGCTTCTTTAAGGTATTCTGGGGCATGTTCAAAATCGCAGCGGAAAATGTTTTTTACGGTCTTGTAGCAAAGAGGAGTAATGTGCACTGGTTTGGTGTGGTCGTTATGAAGAACGGAGAGTGGTTCGTAGTGATAAAAAGTTGGCGGATCTTGGGACAACACGTCACCTAGGAATGTGGAACCTGACCGAAAGTAGGCCACCACAAGTATACGAGGAATCGTTGGCGTGCCTGTGTCAGCGAAGAGGTTTCTTGTATTAGGAGCAACAGGAGCAGAGACACTGGTAGTTGACGCCGCTGACGTTGACTGTCTGGTTGTGGGTTCTTTTCTCCAAAAGTGGGTTCTAAATGACTGCTCGGAACCTTGGGAACCTTTTGTTTCCAAGTGGTGGTTAGACTTGCCATATTTCGCCGCTGACTTCAAAATGTTATGGGATTCAAAACTTATTGGCACTGCTAATTCGTGGTCGCGCTTCGTGTAACTTGAACTTTTATACCTTGTTAGGGTTGAAATAATCATCAACGAGAGTATGGTGCCAATTAAAAGTAGAAAACATATACGTCTTAAAAGTCGATCTCTAGGCGGCTTTTCTTGACCTGGAAAATGTCGTTCTTGAAAGTTCTGGCTCCTTGCTTGATCTGTAAATTGTATTGTCTTGGATTAGTGTTGATGGTGACAGGGTTCAAGCACATTGTGAATAAAGCTATTACTTTAAGGTTATAAAGAATCTGTAGGAACCAATTGAGCGGAATTGTATGTTCCATTTAGTCAGAACATTCGGAGTCCCTGATTAGTACCAAACCTCTGGGTAGCACTGAACACAGGCTCAGTTCGTAGTGGCTCTTATCCAATGAAAGCAAGTACAGTCCCCGACAATATGAGCTAGAATCCTCGAGCGACAACCAGACATTACAGACCACGCCAAGCAGAATGCAGCGAGCTGGAAAGCGACAGTGACTTGTGTAAAATTTCTGGACGCACGCTTCCCGCGCTAAGCACTTTACGTTATCATGCGCGCTGCGGAGAGTGTGAAGGGTGGAAAGGGGAAAGGGGGGGGGGGGGCGTCCACGAATTTTAGTGCACGCCATGTCATTGCCGCTTCGCTCGCTGTTCGTTAGGCTGTGTATTCTGTACCGCCTCATCGCCACTCGTGCATTCTAGCTCATATCGCCGGAGACGGTACGCTGCAGCTTCCATAAACCTGTAGGTGGATTTTATACTACCGTGACCAAAAACAAACTTTACGTTCTGTTTTTGCATACCTCGGAAGTTTAATAAACTCGGTCTGCAAACATCAGACCAACATAAGGATAGACATTTGTCGAAAATAAGTAGAGCAACCGATTCATAGATAGTGTCCATTTCGCTTTTTTTTTGTTTACCTTTAAAGCCGGCAACATTCAGCATGCACACCGAAAAGCAAGGCAATGAGTATTGGGAGCACATCCAGGGAAAAAATGAATAAATCAGCTCACTTCATCCAGGTTGTTAGGGCTACTGAAACGCGCCTCTACATTACCGCCACGTCGCGCCACCCTACATAGGCGAATGCGAGATTAATACGTTTACACTCCTGGCCGCGTTGGCGATGGTAGTCGTGTACGATCCGAGCAATAGACCCTTTTCAAAAGTCAGAGTCCTCTTGTGGCAGTACGAAAAGCTCCAATATTGTCGCTCTAATGGCGGTGATAGGAGATCAAGCGCGACTAAATCAAGCACCCTCGATTTCGTGTATCGAAGCTGTCGTGAAACGGTGAATATCTTTTCCTTTTTCTGCTTTATGCTTTCGAAGATGTTCGATTTTTCTGGTGTGGAGAAACTGTGTAGTTCCGCCATTAGAGCGTCGGGTCTGGCTCTGCACAAGGTGGGTAGATTGACTTTCAGAAAGGGTCTATTGACCCTGTAACAGCGATGGCGTCACAACATGGCACTCCGCTCCAAACAAACCGTTGCTGGCGCCGTTGTTATGGCCGGATGCATCGAGAGTCGACGTAAGGTTAGAAATTGCCTGATTAAAAATGTCATTATTTTTTGTAAACATTGTTTTCTCAAAACCTAATCATGAAAATTTCTTTTCTATCGTCTTAGTACCATAAAGCGATGGCAACAACTTGTTTTTGCCATCGCTTTCACAACAGGTTTTGCCTTGGTAGCAGACGACACGATGGCTTCGCCGGTTCAGTGGTCCTTTCTGAGTGAGTGCGTGACTACGTTGAATAAAGTTGGTGACGATCGATGAAAATTTTCTTCTCGGGGAGCACTTTCTGTGGGATTTCGGAAGCAAAGCGTGCTCGTACACAGCCTTGATCGACGCTCGAAGTGCGCGAGCGCGTGAATGCCTTCCCGTTGAGCTCGCTTCCGCAGAAATTACAGGCGCGGCGCACCAGCGGAGGCGGCGTTCGTAAAATGGCGTCAGCTGTTGCTGGCTTCACGCGGCGGTACCGTGCGTGCTTCTATTCATTCGGCGTTCGTCGCCATGGAGACGGCGAGGAAAGCAGACGAACTTTATGTTGCGGAAGAACGCTGCGGCGCAGCGATACCAGGTGCGTTCTAAGGCCCTTCCCGCATGGTTTTTAACGGGCGGAAGGCGAACAAAAAGAGTTTGAAATAAGGACTTAACGCAGAATGCTGCATTTCTCCAGCGCCTCATAATTTGACGAGCCTTGCACGAAAAGCATGTATTTTTTGGCCATCCCGCATCCTGTTTTTTTTTTGTTTCTTTTTATCCATAACATTCTAAAGAATCAAACTACCAGCGTGTCTGCATGGCCTACAATAAAGGGGAAAACAGTGTATGCGTGGCCTAGTCGGTAGCGTGTCTTTCCCGCAACCGAAGGGTCGTGGGTTGGAATCCTACCTCCGCCCAAAAATTTTTTTTTTTTTATTTAGGGCAAATGAAATACTTTATTAAGTGAAATCATTTGAGACATGCGGTAACCTTTATAATGCATTACCATGTCGTGTTTTAATCACTTTCATTCCACGCGTGGCGTCACGCATCACGTGATCGCTGTGGGTTGTTTGAACTTCCCGCGCGAGTTCGTGTGGCTGTGACGTCATGAACCTACCGACCAATCAGGATTTCCTCGTTCCACCGACACCGACGCCGGCTTTTCTGCGATATGAGCTCCGTAACGCTGTCGCGTTAATATTTGAGGTAAAAGTACTGTGAAGCTGAATCACGCACGACGACGACGTGAAGTGTATCAAAGATCCTTACAGCACAGTGCAAGGGTTTCTGACAGCACAGTTCCTCAGTGCATAGTTGTGTGATGGGATCAAACGAACTGTCGGTAACATGTATATACAGGGTGGTTTCTTTTTATTCTTTACAGATTTGTTTAAAAAAAGCCATGAAAGTTATACTTACGCGGTTTTTAGGAGTGAGTTATACGGCGAGGTGGATATAGTATGGGGGCTAATCATAATGATCAGTCGGCTCATTAATTAAAATTTGTTAATTAACTTTTTAATTAGTGAAACAGAGGTATGGTTCCAATTAGAAACTTGCTCAGCGTCATCGAAAACCACTGAATCAGTCATTTTCAGAAAGACTTTGAGCGCGTGAGAAGCGTAATAGTGCACTAAAGTCACCACTCGTGGAGCAGGTACAAGGCTGGGGCTAGATATGAGACCGAGAAATCGCGCTGGCGCCTTACCGCTAGCCTTGTACACACCTGCTCCACGAGTGGTAACTTTAGTGCACTACTACGCTTCTCACGTGCTCAAAGTCTTTCTAATAATTACTGGTCCAGTGGTTTTCGATGACGCCCAGCAGGTTTCTAATCGGACCCATATGTCCATTTTCACTAATTAAAAAGTTAACTAACGCATTTGAGTTAATTAGCCGACTTATCGCAAAGATTAGCCACCTATATAATGTGCCCGTGGCCGTATAACTCGCTAGCACAAACAGCATTAGTGTAGCTCTCATGCTTCTTTTTAAACAAATCTGTAATACTAATAATAAAACCCCCTGTACATTGCCGAGTGCGTGACCGAGAAGGAACGCTTTCCCCTTTACCCAGCACCTCCACCAAAAATATGGCGGATGAAAAAAGTTTAACGAGGGTAGACTGAATATTGCGCTTGTCCTGTGTTTTTTTTTTGTTACGCCTTTTTTGCGCCATATTTAATAGGAATAAAAATAAAGGTTTAATCGGCAAACTTGCACCAGAAACAAAAGAAGGAAAGCGTCGAAACAGCGGCAGCAGCGTAAGTCGCGTCGTCGGCGTGGCAGCTGGCTTGGGCGAGAGGGAATGTGTCTCGTCGTCGAGAGAATCTGAGTATGTCGGCCAAGCTCACGCTTGACTCCTTATTCACTACACTCGGCATCTCGGGCATTGGCCCTAGAATGTTCGAGACTGACTAGGCAAGGTCATTCTGGCCTCCTTATATTTTACACTCGGAGTACGAGTGAGCACGAATCTTCTAGATGTAAGGAGAGGCGCTCCTTCTCGGTCATGCACGCAGCAATATAACTTATCCGATGTTCTTATCTAGCTCCTTCACTATTTAGGGTCCTACTTAAAAGTAAAAAGCAGTTCGTCTTTTTTTTTCAGTGTGATGATTATTATCAGGTACAAACCACAAACGAATTTGCGAGCCTCAAAAAACACAGTTCGTGGTCTCAAACCGCCCATGTTAGACACAAATAATTGTTCCTTCATTACAACACACGTCAACTGCAAAACAAAAAAGAGGGCCAGGAGCTGGTTTGATATCCTGTTCTAAACGCATGCTTTTCTCGCTGTGTTTTTATCACATCTCCATGCGTGTGATGATTGTCATCAGGCAGTATCGTGCCGCGAACCAATAGAAATCGTTTTTATAAAAGTTGTGAGTTTTTTTTTTTTTTCAGGCCTGCTATGTTCCAAATAATTACAAAGTCAAAAAACGCATCATTGTGCAAACTATTCAAACTGTTCCAGACGGCATGATTCAGTCATTCCGTTTCGCTTTCGTCATGCGTTTGTCGTCATCGGCATGCATCTCGAGACGCCTCAAGGACTGAAAGTTCTCGTCGCAAATATTTCAGAAACAGCCGATTCTCGGCAAATTTCCGTCGGGGTAAGTGCGAGGTCTAGGCCTCCCATATCTATTCCTTTTAGACGTTTAAATTTCACGTCCGAGTTTTGACCGATCGCTCTTCCGGAGCGAAATCTAGTCTCGTGTATTCGTCCATAACAACGCCCCTAGCACTGGTTTGTTCGGGGCGGTGCCGTCAAGCGGAGAGATATTAGGGAGTTTTAGGGAACCGTTTTTGCACATCCGGTACGGAACGATAGGCCCTCCGGTACCAACTGCGCATGCGCTACCAGAGAACACTCTCATATGCGCAGTTCGGTCTGGACGGCCATTGTACCGTTTCGGACCTGGAAAAACGGTTCCTTATAACTGCCTGATGATCAGCGGAGCGATGCCACGGAACAAACCAATCAGCGTCCACTCAGGCAGACATTAACTTCGTTCGATTTACCTGCACCACCGGCATCGATGTAGAAAGGTTCAGGGCTGTGTACTTCCGGTATGTGTATTCAGATACGACCGGAAGTGCACCTCCCTACACTTTTCTGCACTGGTGCAGGAGGTGCAGGTGAATCGAACGAAGCTACTACGTAGCTGCCATCGGCCGGTAGCGCAGCTGTGGTCGCCCGCGGTACTAGGCGCCTCTCTCCGTTTGCGGCGCACG